GCTGTGGCTGCACCAGCAGGGCTACGCCGACAAGCTGCGCAGGCGCTTCATCGACGAGGAGCGGGGCGGTCGAGTTCCGAAGACGCCGGTCTCGGTCGACGCCTATGCTCAGCTGACGTTCGACGATGGGGAGGCTCAAGAGCGCCAAGAGGAGGAGTACCGGCAGAAGGTCGGCTCGCTGCAGTTCGCGGCGACGACGACGAGGCCGGACATCGCGTTCGCCTGCAGCAAGCTGGGGAGCGGCCTCACGGTGAGGAGCGACCAGCATTGGCGCGAGGTCGACCGCTGCCTCGCCTACCTCGCCGACACCCGCGACACCGCCCTGGAGTTCGGCGGTGGACCAGAATCGTTGGAGCTGATCGGCTACGTCGATGCCGACGACGCGGGAGACAAGCAGAGCCGGACGAGCACGGGCGGCTATGTGTTCGTCTACGGAGGGGCTGCCGTCTCCTGGTCGAGCTCGCGTATCAGGTGCGCGACATTGTTATCGACTGAGTCGGAGTACGTGGCGGCCACGGATGCCGGCAAGGAGGGGCGTCGACTTCGCTTCCTCCTTGCGGAAGTGAAGCTGCTCGACGCTGGGAAGCCGACCATCCTCCGCGTCGACAACAAGTCGGCAATCACGGTCGCTGAGGGCTTGGGGCTGACGGGCAACCTCAAGCACATGGAGCGACGCTATGCCTGGCTGCAGCACATGGTGAGGCGCGGGAAGTTCGTGCTGAAGTACATCCCGACCACCAAGCAGCCGGCTGATTTCCTGACAAAGGCGCTGCATTTTCCGGCTTTCAACCGGTGCTCTGTCGCCATCGGCCAAGTTCGCCTGGCCGACGTCGGCATCGGCGACGACGAGGTGCAGCAGTAGGTGCTGTGCCCTTCTGCACGGCTGGTGCGGTGAGGATGTGCTGTGTGTGAGGTGCACGTCGAGGGCGAGTTTTCTCCGTGGAGTACTGCCGTGTGGGCTGGAGGCCCAAGCGTGAGCGCGGCAGGGGAGTGTTAACGGGAATGAAATGTTGGCCCCGCCCTCGCTTGGGCAACGCCGACGCCTTGGTTCGGATGTACGGGAGTAGCAGCCGACCGTTCACAGTGGGAGAGCTGCTCGACAGGCTTCGTCGAGCTGCAGGGGACCGCTGTGGTGTTGCTGTCGACCAGGGAGCTCGACAGCTGCATCTGATTGGCCTGGGCGACGGGTGGGCCGCCCGGGAGGTCGACGGAGCTGTCTGTCGACCTGAAGTTCGACCGGAAGGTCGATGGAGCAATCAGTCGACCTACAGTTCAACGGGGAGGTCTAGGGAGCATCCGGTCGACCTGACAAGTGAGCCGCGTTCGACGAGGGCAGCTCGGCGACAACCGCTGACGGTTCTGGTCGACGGAAGGGGTCCGTCGACCAGGGGGTAGCTCGACGGGAGTTGTGGTCGACCAGAGGCACCTGGTGGTCGACCAGAGGAACCCAGTGGTCGACCAGAGGCCCCTGGGGGTCGACCAGGGCATCCGAAGGTTGACCAAGTCGACCGGGTAACCTGCTCGACGAGTTCTGCGGAGGCACGCGAACGTTGTCAAGGTCGCGATGGCGAAGGCGACTTCGGGATGGTATCCCGAAGTCGATGTGGCTCGTCAGGCGCAGACAACAGCCGACAGAAGCAAAACGAGGCGTGTTGGGCCAATTGTATGCGCGCACCTGCGAGCATGCGCACTGCTGTCTTCTACGGGGCAACGCTGGACAGCCGCACTGCTGCAGCGTTGGCACGCCGTCGACCTGCAGTGTTGGCAGGTCATTCTTCTGCAGTGCTGGCGCGGCTCCTCTACGCAACGCTGGCAGGCGGTCGACCGAGCTGTGCTGGCAGTCGACTAGGCTAGCAGCAGAGTTGCTAGGTGCCTGATGTAGTCATTCTGTCATTGCTTGTTCAATCATTTAGTATTCTCAACTTTGCTAGTGGAAACTCTTGCCAATCTCTCCCGTGAATGCGCAAGTGCTAAGGAACCAAGCAAAGCTACGATCACTCCTAGTAGTTCGTGCCAACCCCCATAGTCTAGCTCACTACCGTTGTAGAGTGACTCTTCGCACAGTCCAGTCCTACAAACCAATACGTTCAACTATCATGAAGAGCTACAAATCCCCACGCACCGGAGTTGTCATCCACTGGAATGGCCTGGCAGAACATTGCTGGGAGGTCGGCAGCAGGGGTGTTGATGGTGCCGGCAGCAAGTCAAGCAACGACATCGGGATTGCAGGAGGAGTCCGCACAGAAAGGCGGGGCGCCCATGGCGGAACCACAGAAGGCACAGCCGGAGGTGCGCTGAGCCACACCGGCATCGTTGGTGCAGGAGCCCGGCGAGGAGAGGCAGTTGCTGCGGATGTCGCACAGCTGGAAGGGCTGAGTGGGGAAGGCGCCCGCCAGGAGGTTGTTGGCGATGGCCAGCACCTGCAGCTGCGAGGCCATGGCTGGCAGTGTACCCGTCATATAGTTTGCTCCCTGCTAGCTGGAGGGAGGGGGATGGAGAGAGGTGATGGAGGGAGGCCTTTTTGCAAGAGCAACCCTCTTATGATCTCCCGATTTCCCTCAGCACCTCCCTCCCACTTCTTTCGGAATAGCGTATCAATTGAACCACCTTCTTATGCTGCTTCTCAACCAGCCACCCATCTACGACGCGTTTGCCTTCCCCAAGACCACTTCTGCCCAGTGCCTGCTCACCAACGCCTTCGCTCAAGTGGCGGAGTGCCAGCTGGCAGAGCTGTCGATGCAGGCGGCGGGGTGGGAAGGGGACAACGACTGGGAGGAGGGGAGGTGGTGACCGTGACGGAGCACGACTAATGTACTAGTTTGTTAGTGACTGTGACGGTGATAATTCATATTCTATCATTGTTACTAGAACCAAAATGCCTTACCATATACGTGATGAACAAAGGTTCGAATAGATTTGTAAAAAACGTATTTGCTAAGGAATAAACAATTAACATACCTATTGTTCAAAGATTGAGGCATGATATTTACTCAAATTAGAAACTATATCTGCTGTTCTGCCAACTAGCCTGTTCCTATCCCATCAAACCCCTATGGTGATAACAAGCAATCTTGGTCCAACAGCATAGTCTAACCTCCAATCAAAGCGTTTAACAAGATAAAAAAGCAAAAGCAGGAGGTCACAAAATGCATCAAGCCTTCTAAGGAGTGCAGAGGTAGCCAACGCAGTTGGAGATGGCAGGTGCCGCACACTTGAGCCCCTGGCAGCACCAGTCAGCGGGGCAGGCAACCAGTGCAGCTGCAGCACACACAAGGTCTGTGAATCAGGGGCACAGAAGAACGGAGAACAAGGATGAAGATGTTAGAAGGTGGGGAAAGAAGGAAAAGAACATTCAGGCAAGCAGCAGCATCAAATGCTGGCAAATAGAAAAGAGAAATGCAGCAAGAATGGAACATTCTTCTTTCCTGGCCCAGCAGCAAGCTGAAACAGCACTCACCAACGCAAGTCATAGGGAGAACAGCAGCAGCAGCAGTATTCACTGTCTTGGCAGTGAACAGTGCAGCAGCATTGGGCGTGCACACCCCTGTGCCACCGCACAGCATGCCCTGACCACTCGCACTGCCGCAGATATCACACCCTGACGCTCGCTGTGCCGTATCGCCCTGCTCGGTGGGAGTGTTGCAGGAGGTGGCGCTGGTGAAGCAGTTGGCAGCAGAGACACAGGAGGTGGCGGAGTTGACAGGGAAGGTGCCCGAGAGGAAGTTGTTGGAGAGGACGATTGTTTGAGCGATGCTGACACCGGTGGCACGCGGTATGTCAGGTAGTTGTACGCCATGCCCCTGCATTGCACAAGTTCTCAGAGGTGGGGGAGGGGGATTGTGGGTGCTGTGGTTGTGAGAGAGGATTGTGAGAGGTTGTGATGAGATGAGCGAGTTACATATTAGAATGAAGCAATAATGATATGGATGAGTAGGATAAGGCTGAGCTGGTGTGGAATGTCGTTTGGCAGCAAAGTAAGAGCGTGGGACATAATTTAGTGGCAGCAAGGGAAGGGCATGCGACACTTGGCATTTGGCATGAGGTACAAGGCATAGGGTACGACACTGACAGCTGGGTGAGTTTGGTCATGGCGAGGAGAGGTGGGGGCAGCGAGCCCTTGAACCAGTTGTAGTCCAGCAGGCTGGATGGAATGCACACAGAGGAACGGAGAGGTGTGCAGAGAAGATAGCAGTGGGTGCAGAGGAGCACAGAGGGGAACACAGGGAATATGCGTAAGAGGGGCACAAAGTAGGGAAATAAGGACATTTAGGAGAGACATTAACGAGGAAACACACAGGTGACACACAAAGGAAAGCTAGTGAATGGGGAAAAGACTGCGAGGGTGGCAGTACGCCATGGCTCAAGGTAGAAGGGCAGCAACACCCTAGCAAGGGTGCAGCATGCTTGGCTTGCTTGAACTGCAGCAACGCTCAAACCACGAGGGTGGTAAGGGAGTTCTTCGCCTGTCGTGGTGCTCTAAGGGCAGTAGTGCGTTAGTGAGGGAATATTTTGGACTGGCAGGTTGGTGAGGCACTCACAGCACTGCCAGGTTGGTGAGCGCGGGGATCCTCAGCGCAAAATCTTCAAGGCGAGCCCTGAACAGATTGGACTGCAGGTTGCTGCGACCCCGGTGGCCACAGCGGGGGCAAGAATGCGGAGGGATAGAGGATGGAATACAGGGAGAGAAGATGGAATTGGAAAAAAAGGTTGCAATCATGAGCCATGATGCAGATTTGTACGAGATGCATACAGGAAGGGGAAAGGTTGGATTCAAAAGGTTGGGATCTCAGATTGGATGCATAGATGCGGGCAGGTAAATAGGATGCATTTTTCGTGTGGTCGTGATGCGAGCGACGATTGCAGACAAATGCAAGCATACAAGTTGGTTGCTTCATTTTTGTCAATGACAGCGGTATGCACATGAACGCCACCATGCAGATTGGTGCTTACATGTGCTTGCATGCACGAAAAGTAGTCCGTGTATTCACGTGTGCACTCACAGGTACGTGAGCACTGAGAGTTTGGTGACGTCAGTAGGGAGCACTCCGAACAGCTGCTGGTTGTTGAGAGTGCTGGCACAGGTAGGCAGGCAAAAAAAGGGGAAGGAAGGAAGGATCCAGGGGAGAGGATCAAGTGGGAGAAAAGAGGGGGTGTAAGCTGCAGGGCAGGAAACGAATTAGGGGGGATGATGAAATAGGCGAAGTAGGATGGAGCAACTGGGGATCTAAAGTCAGTCGAAGGAACTAGTGGTAATACCCATTGTTGGCTTCACACCCAACTTGTCTACTTCTCACTTTATAGTTGACATCCTACTTTCTCCACAAGGTTGCCAGGTTGAGAGAATTCTCAAAAGCCGCACTCAAGTCTAGTTATGCTACCAATTGCAATTCCCATCTTTGGAACAAGCTCTCCTGCACAATGAGGGTTTTGTCTCACATGAACTTAATCAAGTGCTCACATCTTGACGGGATTTCTAGCTGAGTCACACTCCACACCCGTCAAGCTCCCACTCGTTACAGTGCCAGCTGTCCCTGCCAGAGTGCAGACAGTGTTTGCCGCCCACCCTGTGTGCGTCACTCCCAAGGCTGTCTTCATCCTCAGCAGCGCTGCCACTGTGGGTGGGGGAGGGAGGTGGGATGAGGAGAGTGAGGATTGAACCAGGAAATTTGAATAGGAGAGGAGAGGGAGGTCAAGGTGAGAGGAACCAGTGAGCTGAGCGTGTGTGAGGAATGAGAACGGATCATGCAGCCAGGCATGCCATTAAGGTGATGATCCCCATGCCACCCGTGCCCATGCAGATTGTAAAGTGCACACTGGGACGTCGCCCCGTGCTACCCATGCCCGTGCCCCGGGGTGTCTTACTGGCAATGGAGTTGACGGGAACAGCCGGCAGCAAGGAGCACTCCAGAGGGAGCGCAGGGGTATTGGGGCTGTTGGTCAAGGATAGGGATGCGAGGGATGCAGCTGTGGGCTGGCAAGTGGACGCACCACCACCGCCACACAACACCCCTGTTCCATCGGCACTGCCGCAGATACTGCACGTGGTTCTCTGAGCAGTCCCTTTGCCTCCGTCCGCCGTGCAAGCAGCAGCATTTGAGAAACAGTTGGCGCGTGCCGAGCAGGACAGCCAGGAGCCAGAGCACTGGTTGCCGACTGTCGCAGAGTGGGCCTCCAACCTCTCCTTCCCGTAAGTCGTTACCTTGCTTAGGTAGTGCCTTAGCTAGGATTAGGAGGGCGACGCGTTACACAAGGTCCGTTTTGTGCTTTCCTGTCGCCTGGCTGAGTGTGCGATGTATCGCCATCATTTCGCCGCCGTTCGCCTTGTAGATGTCACGGCCATTCTGCTGTGTCACGCCCCCATTTCGCCATGTCGCGCCGCCTTTTCACTACGTTGCGCCTCCATTTTGCCTAGTCACATTGCCATTTCGCCTTGTCACGCCGCCATTTCGTGAATTCACGTCGCCGTTCACCATGTTTAAAGTGGCGAGTGACAGTTTGCCCCCTCCGAGAGTCGCTCAGCGAGAGTTTGCGTCGTTTGGCCTCTGCCTCACTTATAATTCACAAGCATCTTGTTTTATCGAGTGAAGATCACAACTACTGCGCATTTCGAATCGTTTGAAGTGTTCAGCGCCCATTGCGGGTCTCAGATTCAAGTGTCCACGCCTAGGCGTCATAGCCTCACAAGGTTTCAATCTGCAAAACCCTAGAAACAGGCCTGAGGTAAGGCTGGTCCTGCCATTCCATTCTTTTCTGTTTTTATATTGGAAATACAAGCACTTTCCTCCATTCGCTGATGCTTTTGAGTCAGTTGATGGTCCCCTGCTCCCCACCCTCTCTTTATCTCATCCGCGTATCATCACACATCATCATCTGGCAGTTCAGGATTGCCACATCAGCAGCAGCGTCTGTACGGCGTGTGAGCCACGGCGCGCCACTTCGACGCCGTGCGCGTGTACGTGTCATCCAACGGCGGGTACCACCCGTCTCATTCCACGGGGGAGGGGGGGGAGCTCGCAGTGGTAGTTTTCATCTCTGCCGCCATCGCAGGGGCTCGCACACAGCAGCCAACCTTGCAGGAGTAGAGGATGCGGCAAAGCCAGGGGCAGGCGCAGGGAGTGGGGAGAGTGGCGGAAGCTGTGTAGGTCAGTGGGGGAGATTCCTTTCGCATAGCAGGTTTGAAGGGCGCAGAAGGAGCGGGGTGCGGTGATGAGGGGTGACGATGGTGACGCTGGCGGAACAGGGCAGGGGCGGAGAGGAGGGGAGGGCGCAGGATGATTTCGGGAGGGCTTGGGTGGGAAGCTGGGTAGCGAGGGCAAGTAGTGAGACAGGCAGGCATCTCTCGGCAGTCGACTCTCGGCAGTCGAGAGTGGGCGCTCTTTTGGGGCCAATGCACCTGCAGGGTGGTCGCAGCGTGGGGTGGAGCAAGTATCTGCAGCCGCTGTGGTAGCAGCAAGGTGCAACAGAGGCAGGGTAAGGGTGAGTGTGAGTGGTGGCAGGGTGTGTTAGAGGCATGGGAGGAAGTGGCGGAGAGGCATGGGAGGAAGTGGCGGAGAGGCATGGGAGGAAGTGGCGGAGGTGGATCCGCGGCTGATGCAATGTCTGTTGGAGAAAATGGTGTCTGCGCTCCTGTCTTTGTTCCTGTCCGTTCCCCCGCCCGCGCCCGTCTCATTCCGTCAGCTCAAGCCACGATATGCCGCCGCCCCTCTCCTCTCGACCCCTCGGCCACCCCGGCTTCGTATACACCATGCCAGTAGGGCCATCCTCGCCCCCGGGGCCACGCCATTCCCCCGCTCGGGTGCCCCCATGCTCGCTCCATGTGCGACCACTGCGCCTACCGCCTCACCACACACAGCGCGTTACCAAACCAGACAGTTGCAGCAAGAGTGGAAGGTGTGGTGAAGAGAATATGCCTGTCAATACTGTAGCAGGCTAGCAGCCACAACAGGTTCTCTTTGTGTGATAGATTACCTCTCTCCTGCCGCCACCCCTTCTTCTCTTTACCCTTCCCCGGAGCAGAGGTGGAAACACAGGCGGGAGCTCAGGTGGGGGCATGGGAAGGGGCGGGGGGGGGGGGGGGGGGGGGGGTAGGGGGGGAGGGGGTGGGGGTGGGGCAGGGAGGCTTAGGTCAGAACATGAAGGGGAGTATGAGCGGCAGTTTGATTAATACAAACATGCGTGCAGGAGGTGGGATAGCAGGGGCGCGAAGATAAGTTCACCCGGACACAGAGGGAGTGCGGCGGCCAGCAGCAGGAATAGGCAGCATAGGTGGGAGGAGCGTGAGCATGGACATGGCGTGCCGCTGCTGGCAGTTGATGCCGTTCTCACTCACGGAAGCCTCCTCCTCCCTTGGATTCCTGCAGCACTGGCAGCATGACAGCACCGCCAGTGCCCACCCTGGCGGCGGCGGTGGCATGGTGGGCAGCAGCGTGGATTGCAGTCACATCATCAGCGTGGTGATGGGGTACGTCCGCCTTGACAGCAGCAGCAGCCGTGGTGAGAGGGTTTGGTCTGAATCCGTCCGGTTGGAGTTCTGCCCAACCCTTATTCACTATCGTTCAAGATTAAAAGAATTGGAAAGGGAGCTCGAGTGTTAGAGAAGTTGCTGGAGCAGGAGGGAGGCTGGGCTAAACTAGTGAGCTCAAGTTGGAGCTCCACCTTCCCTCCCCTCCCAACTTCATTCCTTTCCATCCAGTCTCTCATATCCAATCCTCCCTCCATGTCATCCCCCTTTTCTCCCTCATCCATCCCTTTTCATTACCAAGTCCTCCGCTCACCCCATTCAGGTCCTCCAATGTGCCAATGTGCTCATCCTCCCTCTCCTACCCTCGTGCCTTCCACCTATCAGCACCTCACTCGTGCAACTCCATCCTGCTGTGCCCATTACTTCACTGCATGGCACACTCGTTCATCTTTCCTCCCCTTCTTGACCCTGTGCATGAACCAACTGTCCTCCTCTGTTCGCCACCACCTTCGTATCTGCTCCCCCAGCATCCCAGTGACACAGCAGCATTGTAGCCATCACGTCACTGTCAATCGCTCCCCACCTTTCCCTGCCACCCATGCCTCCCTCTTCTCGTTTTCGGCCCACATATATATCTCCTCACTCACTCCCCCTTTACCCCCTACTCCCACCCCCGTCACCCTCGCCGTCCATCTCCCCTTCCTTGTGCTTGCTCAATGCCAGCAGAAAATAGGCTCTATATGCAAACCAGCCAAGTTTTTCTTTTCCATTTTTCACCCTTCCAACCTCTCCCTTCCCGATCCTACCCTTCTTGTGCCCCTCGGCACCTCGGATCCCTTTATTGCCCCTCGGCACCTCGGATCCCTAAATTGCCCCTCGGCACCTCGGATCCCTAAATTGCCCCTCGGCACCTCGGATCCCTTTATTGCCCCTCGGCACCTCGGATCCCTTTATTGCCCCTCGGCACCTCGGATCCCTTTATTGCCCCTCGGCACCTCGGATCCCTTTATTGCCCCTCGGCACCTCGGATCCCTTTATTGCCCCTCGGCACCTCGGATCCCTTTATTGCCCCTCGGCACCTCGGATCCCTTTATTGCCCCTCGGCACCTCGGATCCCTTTATTGCCCCTCGGCACCTAGGATCCCTTTATTGCCCCTCGGCACCTCGGATCCCTTTATTGCCCCTCGGCACCTCGGATCCCTTTATTGCCCCTCGGCACCTCGGATCCCTTTATTGCCCCTCGGCACCTCGGATCCCTTTATTGCCCCTCGGCACCTCGGATCCCTTTATTGCCCCTCGGCACCTCGGATCCCTTTATTGCCCCTCGGCACCTCGGATCCCTTTATTGCCCCTCGGCACCTCGGATCCCTTTATTGCCCCTCGGCACCTCGGATCCGTTTATTGCCCCTCGGCACCTCGGATCCCTTTATTGCCCCTCGGCACCTCGGATCCCTTTATTGCCCCTCGGCACCTCGGGTCCCTTTATTGCCCCTCGGCACCTCGGATCCCTTTATTGCCCCTCGGCACCTCGGATCCCTTTATTGCCCCTCGGCACCTCGGATCCCTCTATTGCCCCTCGGCACCTCGGGTCCCTCTATTGCCCCTCGGCACCTCGGGTCCCTTTATTGCCCCTCGGCACCTCGGTCCCCTCTATTGCCCCTCGGCACCTCGGGTCCCTTTATTGCCCCTCGGCACCTCGGGTCCCTTTATTGCCCCTCGGCACCTCGGGTCCCTTTATTGCCCCTCGGCACCTCGGGTCCCTTTATTGCCCCTCGGCACCTCGGGTCCCTTTATTGCCCCTCGGCACCTCGGGTCCCTTTATTGCCCCTCGGCACCTCGGGTCCCGTTATTGCCCCTCGGCACCTCGGGTCCCTTTATTGCCCCTCGGCACCTCGGGTCCCTTCTATTGCCCCTCGGCACCTCGGGCCCCTTTATTGCCCCTCGGCACCTCGGGTCCCTCTATTGCCCCTCGGCACCTCGGGCCCCTTTATTGCCCCTCGGCACCTCGGGTCCCTTTATTGCCCCTCGGCACCTCGGGTCCCTTTATTGCCCCTCTGCACCTCGGGTCCCTTTATTGCCCCTCGGCACCTCGGATCCCTTTATTGCCCCTCGGCACCTCGGGTCCCTTTATTGCCCCTCGGCACCTCGGGT